AAAAAAAAAAAAAAAAAAAAAAGCGAATGGGGACAATCAAAATGAACTGTCAACCTCGATTTGCGCTAGCACAAAAAATTTTTGAGCAAATAAGCTGCAAAATGCTCATTGCATCAGCTTTTAACTGCACTTCAAACAAACTAAACTCAACAATTTTTGTTACAAGCTATTTAATAAAATCAATTTTTGTCATTACTGTCTTGAGCAAATAGCTAACTTAAAAGAAAACATTTATTTTTTTTCTGCCCTCTCCTTAAACCTCCTCAAAAAAAATTTCTCAGAGTTACATTACAGATTCTGCATTTCCTTCTTTTTTAGGCAACATATTCACCTACTCCACAGCCCCTCTCAACAACGTGTTCACACATAATCATACAAATAAGGAACACTTAAGAATAAAAGCTTTTACAAACCTTTTACCCACCAATTCATATGAATTAGAATTATATGTAAAAAACTAGGAAGTGAAAACACAAATTTTGCCCTTCTACTCTTCAAAAATAGGAAATTAGAATAAAAGTTTAATAACAACAGTAGTGTAAAGCAAGCAACAGAAAGACGTACAATTCACATAATAACTTTTATCGTAATACTAATAAAAATATCTAAAAAAAAGCTAAAGATTATTAGAAATCAAACAGTTAAAAGAGTCTACATTGCTCGCCAAAATCATCTAATACTACACCGACCACGACCTATCCTGCTCCCTACACTCATCCTAACGCAAATAACCAGTTTTTCCATTACCTCACTATGACCACTTCTCAAAAAGGCAGCCATTTTCCTGTTTTACTCAAGATTTTTTTTCTGAGAATAGTTAAACTAACCAAATCTTATAATTATCAATCTCCGCCGCCATGCTGGGTACAACTTCCAAAGAAAACGCAAAGAACAGACAATAATACCAATGTATGCAGTGAAATTTCTGGTAAAAATCAAAGTAAATGCACCTCAAGCTAAATAAGTTAATATTACTCAGCCTTTGTCAATTCAAATGCTTAACTAAACCTTTAAATAATCAAAAAAAATTTTAAAAAGAGATCAACTACAAACACCTCTAAAAAAAGTTCCATTGTTTTAAACAGAAACTTTGAAAATTTCTATCAAAGGTTGTTCACAAATGAATACTCACGACTATAGAAAGATATAGAACAAGAATAACCAAACAGTGCATAAACCTTAAAATTATTCACAATATGTCATCAAGATACAACAAAGAAGCATTTTACCTCTGCACAACACCTGACTCATCGCGGCAAAATTAGAAAATTAAACTTAAAAGACTCAAATGTAATACGTCAAGACCAAAAAAAGATTGATATTTGTTAGTTAAATTTTCCGCCTGACACTACATTACCTGAGCAAACAAAAAAAAATCAACCGACATTAACCAAATCAAAAAATATACGCCTATACACTGAGATTTGTTTAGATTTTGATTCGTCATATAAAAAGTAATGCACACAAATACGCCATGTGTTGAAAAAGAAACAGCGATTCAAATTAGTTATGATAATGAACAGCATTCTAAAGCATAATTTGCATTAAACCAAATCCAAAAAATTTAATTCAGATGACGTTCAGAAAGTTTGGAAATCAAAACCCTTTCAAAAAGCCGCTAGGTGACAAGTGTGTTTGAAAAAGTTAAGCAAAAAATTAAAGTCGGAGAGCTTCAGAGAAAAGACTGTAAAAATTGCTAAACAAACCGTCACTGTAAGGGATATGAGAAGAATGAACCAGAGCAGACCGCACCAGCCAGTCCATAAAGATATCTAACAGGCTGTTTACTTTTGGATACTTTTTTCCAACATAAGCAGGATACATAGGGTTATCTAAAGCAAAAACCTCGCAAAAATTTAATAAAAAACCCTCGCGAAAAAATTCTTTCGTATTGATCTTGTTATATTGCAAGTAAAGTGAAGCTTTAGGCTTCTTAAAAGTAGGAAACTAAAATTAAACTAAAGCATAGCAGCTAAGAGACCATTTCAATCTTGTACCAAATTCCATTGTCCTTGAACTGTGATTTTGTGATCAATGATTTTACGATAACCAGAAAACGAAACCACACCTTTTAAATAACTCCAGATAAATTGCCCTGCAGACGGCTTGATAACTTCAGGGGGCGTATCATTAGCTGTTAACAAAGAGGAAACAGTAGTTTGGTTTGCGTTAAGTGAACGGTCTGAAATGGCTGTAAAAAATCGGTTAAAAAGTAGATAGTACGTAGTTACGTGAATGGAACACAAAAAAACACAAAGTTGTAATGTAAATAAAATTTTCCAATTTACCAGAAGCCGGTCGGCTTCGAACTGAGTGAGATCCGCTTTGAAGACCAAAGGCACTCTTCAATATATTACTGCCGCTTGTCATACTCCCGGACTGAGGAGGCTGATTAGCTGTTAGTGTCGCATCCCCAGTAGGTGTACCAGAACTATTCGAACTTCGTTGAGGAGCCAAAAAAGACAATCCATTAATATATAAAAAACATTTAATAACTTCAAATTACACTTAAATTTTGAATTTAACTAACTTGTCTTCGCCGTAACCAGTTATCATTCACAGCTCTGTTCGCCTCGTCCCACTGCCTCATTAAATTTTCAGATTCTTTAAATTCTATCGAAACCTGAGGATCACCTTAAATAAGAGTAACACTATGAAATCCTACTGCGTCCTAAACAAATTTTTGATTATAAAAAAACAATGGATCAACTTTGAAATCCTATACACCTACCATAAAAAACATTAATTAATTTGAAAACAGTTGCACAGGCTAAGAAAAAACATTGTCGAAGACGACCAATAGTATATGGCGTTAATTCTTCGGTAGTTGCTTTTGCTACTTTCCCATTTTCATCCATATGACCACCTAAAAATCAGGGTCTTTACTGTAAGTGAATACATGTTAATTGATTACATTAACTTCTAGTAAGCCTACCTGCAGCTAACAAAGCCTCAACAAAATTATAAGAAACATCGCTACCACCGCAAGGATCAAAATCTATGATTTCTGCTGGATTTCCAAGTAAATTTAACATTTGGAACCAACACAAATGAAGCGAAGAGTATTCTTCTTTTTCAGCGCAAGATCCCACTAGTGGGGTGAAATCTAGAACTTCTTTATCGCCTATAATTGGTAAAACTGAACCCTCAAGAACAAATAAAAACAAAAAATACATAAACTGAGAAAAACTACTCATATGTTTGGAACCACAAATATGTGAAGTTTAAAAGGTTTCAAATTTGGCTATTTACAGTAAAATACAAACAAATATCATTGCATAGAGAAACTTACTTAGAGATACTGTCGAATACTGAGATCCGAAAAGCTCGCTGGCAATTAAAACTGATAAAGATAAAACTTTACGTGCCCAATTTTCCACCAGTGGTACCTGTAGAAACGCGATTCAAAATTACTTTGCGCCTTCGCCAATCCAACACGGCTTATTCTATCACGTACAGCAAAAGAGTTCATCCATTTCAAAAAGACCAACTAAGTTTCAATACAAGATGTATACCTGATGTCGCCACCTCCTACACAAAACAGAGAGAGTTTTCCAGTACGACGGAGATGGGATTTGTTCTAAGCGTGCGGCTCGTAAAAATTCATCAAATAAAGTTTGAATGACTTCTTGGGCCATTACAGAGCTGATATCCCCTAAATGCTTTCGTTGGTAACCAAGACATTTTTGGCATCCACGTAAAAAAATAACTGAATTATGCTCCATCACCAGTATAAAAGAAATATAAACTTCACCTTCAACGGTTTGACTAGCTAACAGCAAATCACTAGAATGCAAGAGGAACTGCAGTGAAATGTTTTGAACAAAGCTTCGGTGTTTCTCAAGAGACTTCGAAGTAAGACTAGAAATCCCTTGTAATATATTTTGAATTTCCTGCGCTTGTCTCTTGATTCCCGCATCAGCCTCCAAACCTGCTTTACTCGAAGTAGAAAGATCACGCTTTTTCAACCCGCCTCTTTTTTTGAAGATAACCCGAAGAGCACAAATCATTTCTCTAAA